CCCCGGGCGAATGAGGAGAACAGCGTTCGGCGCAACGGAAAAGGCTCCCTCGGAGTGGAAAATCGATGCTTTCGCTCTTCCGGATTCCTCTGGTTTGCACGAACGGAAAAATCCGTCACTCTCGNTATGACTCCAAAGCAATTCTGTTCTTTACGTATGGGATGCTGAGCGTCCCATTCTCTCGCTGTCTCTGTCTCTCAGAGACAGCGCCCCCTTAAGAACCCTTACGGATTCAAGCCACTACCAGCTATCATCGAGGACCGGACGATTCCATCCGCTCGAATCAAGCGCCTGTCACCGACTGTCTCGAAATCTCCTAGGGCCTTCTCCCCCTAGTCTGAACATCTCAGCGGCGGTGGGTCATTCGTTACCCCACCACCACCAATCAGCTCGACGGCAATTGAGGGGGCGCTAGTCCTTTCACCTAGCCGTTGGTCCCTAGGCTAAGTCGATAGTGCCTCTAGATTCGCCCAGGTGGAACGCCTATACGCCGGCCCTGAACTCCCTAACACAGCTGGGCGAGTTTCTAGATATGGCGACACGGTATCGACAGCCTACAGTAATACCGAGGGGCGCGGCTGCGCCCAGCCGCGCATCTCAGTATTAGTGTTTCATGGTCTTCTCACCTTCCGAGCGGCCCTCGGCCGTCGTCAGATGTCTCTCTCATCTTCGGCTTAGCTTCTGCAGCTAGCCGCTAGATGTCGTTCCTTGCCTTTCTCTTTTAGGTCTTTCTATTAATCTTTTATTTTTCCGCAGGGTAATATATTTACCCCGGAACGAGATAAAATCTCGTTACAAAGTTTCCACCTTTCAGATATTTCTCGGTCATTTGAACCGAATTTTTCGGAACATCGTTTTGGTCCGCTTGCAAAGAATTAGGAGATTTTTTAAAAATTCTAGTCCAGTGATCTTATTCATCTAAGCATGAATATTTATTAATCCCTCAAAAAACGGGAATACGCTCTGGTTTCGTAAAAAAAACTCTCAATTCCCTCTGTGTAAACCAAAAAATATGTCTCAAAAAGTAACATCGAAATGAGTCAGACTCATCTGAAACTTGGAGATTTTCTATCCCACAGGAATTGTTTATAGAATCTTTTGGCTCAATTTGGACAAATCCCCAAATTGACTCAATCAGTTTTGAGATTTGACAGCAAAAAATTTGTCTCGAAAAGTTACGCTCAGATGACTCGGAATCATCAGTAACGTGAAGATTTACTCTTCTCCGAGGGGATGTTTATACGACCTTTTGGCTCAAATGTTCGAAAAATTGATAAATGACGGATAAAAAAATTTAAAAAATTGTTTTGTAAAATTGGGCTCAGATGACTCAGAATTATCCAAAACGTGGAGATTTCATATTCCTTGGGAAAGTGTTTAGACGACCTTTTGGCCCGAATTCAAAATTTTTGGAATTTCTTGTATAAAAAATCAAAAATTTTGTTTCAAAAAGATGAGCTCAAATGACCCAGAATCACCTCAAACATGGAGATTTCATATTCCCTGGGAAAGTGTTTATACGATCTTTTCTCCTGGATTTTCAAAAAATTTTAAATTCAAATTTTCGGGAAAATCAAAATTAATTTTTATACGACCTTTTGGCACAACTCACGCGATATGAGTTAAAATCCAAGTTTCAGAATTTAAAAATCTAAGAGTCATAAGGTCACAATACAAGAGTCTGAATAGCAAAGTCAAAATCGAATGTTCAAAATATAAGGGTCGCAAGGGTCAAAGTTTAAGGGTCATAAGAGTCAAACGACAATTGTCGGAATGAAAGGGTCAAATTTTAAGGCTCCAAATTTAAAGCTCACAAGTGTCAAATTCTGAGGGTCATGAGGATCGAAGTACAAGGGCTTGAATGTAAGGGTCAAAATCCAAGGTTTCGATTTTAAGGATCACAAGGGTCAAAATTTAAGGGTCATAAGATTCAAAGGACAATTGTCTGAATATGAGGATCACATTTTAAAGTTTCAAATGGAAGGGCCACACGGCTCAAATTCTAAGGGTGGCAAAGGTCAAACTCTAAGGGCCATAAGTCTCAAAATACAAGTGTCTGAATATCAAAGTCAAAATCGAAAGTTCAAAATTTTAGGGTCGCAAGGGTCAAAATTCAATGGTCATAAGAGTCAAACGACAAATGTCTGAATATAAGGGTCAAATTCTAAGGTTTCAAAGTCAAGGGTCACAATGGTCAAATTCTAAGGGTCATAAGGGTGAAAGTACAAGGGCCTGAATATAAGGATCAAAATTCAACGTTCCGATTGTAAGGGTCATAAGGGTCGACACACAAGCGTTTGCACACGAGGGTCAAAATCTATGGTTCAGAATTTAATGGTCACTAGGATCAAAATCCAAGGGTCGTAAGGTCAAAATACAACGATCGGAACATGAGGGTCAAAATCTAAGGCTTCGAATTTGAGGTTCACAAGGGGCAAAATCTTAGAGTCACAAGGGTCAAAATACAAGTGTCTGAATATCAAGGTCAAAATTGAAAGTTAAAAATTTTAGGGTCGCAAAGGTTAAAATTTAAGGCTCATAAGTGTCAAACAATAATTTTCTCAATACAAGGGTAAAATTTTAAGGTTTCAAATTTAAGGATCGCAAGGGCTAAATTCAAAGGGTCATGAGCGTCAAAGTACAAGGGCTTCAATATAAAGGTCAAAATCCAAGGTTTCGATTGTAAGGGTCACAAGGGTCAAAACGTAACCATCTGAATACAAGAGTCAAAATCTAAGGTTCAGAAGCTAAGGGTCACAAGGGTCAGAATCCATGGTTCAAAATTTAAGGGTCACAAAGGTAAAAAACTAAAGGTCAAACTCTAAAGGTCAAAATCTACGGCTCAAAATCTAAGGGTCACAAGGGTCAAAATGTACGGGTCAAAATTAATGGTTTATTTAACTAGTAACTCAATAAACCATTAATTTAATCATTGAGCAAATTTATAATATGTATCAATTTACTAATCAATCGTTAAATTGATTCAATAATTAATTTGTCGATTAATTAGTACAGTTTCATCTAAGAGTCTAAATTGGTCTTACATTTTCGATCTTAATCGTTGTATCGATCTTACATTGGCAATCGGTCTTACATGTCACCGAACTTAAACCAACCAATCAGACCAATTGCCGATCTCAACTTGCGATCTTACGCATTTTAAGATCGTACATGAGTCTGATCAAAGAGATATATTATCCAGACATAATCGGTGGGGTTTGTATTTTAGGTGGACATGTATCCTTGGTAGGGGTTAAAACGGGTAGACGTAACTGTTGGTGGGGTTATTTTCCGGTAGGGGTGTCATGAGTCACTGTCACATGGGTAGTCTTGTCACAAGGTGCAGTTGTACAGAATTTAGGTCGGTAAGCCTATAATGTGGTAGGCTTGGCCGGTGACAATTATACTTCGGTAGGCTTGCCCCAAGGTGCAGTTGTATAGGGCTGGGTCATCATCGGGTCGACTCGTGCGCTAATTGGCTTGTACGACGGTGGGGATGTAAATTTCTCGAATGTTCGCACGGTAGAGTTGTAAATTTTCAAATCGTTTAGGTGAGGGTATCGCTTGGTAGAGATGTAAAAGGTGCAGTTGTACAGGTCGACTAGTATTTGGTATGGGGTCGCTCGTCGGTAGGCTTATAAAAGGTGCAGTTGTACAGTTGCCGGTTTTGCAATAACAGTTATCATATTTATGTTCAGTGACACCAAATACATAGGCTCCAATGAAAAACCTATCAAGTAAAGAAACAAAATTCAAATTTTAGAAAAAACGGAGAAATCGCGGAACCAATTTAAGCCAAAATGTAATCAACTCTAAGTTGCATAAATACACTTCGATTCCGACCTCGATGAGCTTGATCGCGTCGATCGTTCGTGAGAAATCGTGGACGAAAATTTTGATAACACATACCCACCCACACACACCCACACACACACACACACACACACACACACACACACCCACGGATCCTTTCGGCGAGGAACGCCTTTACCCGCCGAGTGTTTTCGCAGGCTGGAAGGTCCTGCAACGTGGCGCGTCCCCAAGGTGGTGGATGGGGGAATGCTCGATCTTCTGAACTGCCGTTCAGAATATAGGGTATCGACTAAATAAAATACGTCGGCGCGAACCAACACCTTCCGAGAAACCCAACTCTAAGAGCGATGTGCAGGGTGGGCTCCCTATAACAGCCTTACAAATTTGTACAGTGGCTCTGTTTAACAGCCAAACAAAAAATGTTGAGTAGTGATGATAACACAAATATCCCAGGTGGTAACCCCTCTTCAAGAGGTAAATCCTACCATTGGTTCCGATCGAGTGCAAGCCCCGGTGCCCAATGCCGGCTCCTTGGATTCTGGGAAGAGCCAACCATCACACTTCTCAAAGGCGGACCACTTGGCCTCAGATACTACAAGTGGGGTGGAGTCACAGACTCAAAAGGTGACTGAAATCACCAACTCGAACGGAGGATCGAGACAGGAGCAGGCTCGGGACCATCACGAGAAGCTCATTAGAGATCTTCTGTCCCAGATAACAGACAAAACTAAGCGGACCATCAATGAAGGAATACGACAGCTCGCCAGGAGCATTCAAACTTCTGCAAAACGTCTCCGATCAATCTGTCAAGCTGCATCAGAGCAAAGGACTACGCAGAAGACGAAACCTCATGAGCCAACATCGAAGGACGTGGGATCGCGAAGTGGGGTGCAGAATGAACACCAGACCAAGAAGAAGAAAAATCGCGAGTCCACGGGAACGGATCCTGATGCTCTGAAGAGGTCTCGACAGGAGACCACACCAATCCAACCGAAGCGGGTGTCGGAACCCCAGAGGGATGCAGGCAAACACCAGCGAATCGGGCCGGATAAATATGAGGTTCACGACAGTGAGGGCTGGCAGAAGTGGAAGCGTCGAAGGAAGAAACCTGAGCAAGCCGGAAGCGAACCCAGAGGAAACCAGCGGTCAGGCCGAAAGCACTGATCATTCGCCCTAAGGAGAAAAAGATGTACTCCGAAATCCTACGGCGAGTGAAGAAGGATAGCGCTTGTGGTGAGGCTAGCGATTACGTCGAGAAGATCAGACGCACGGCCGCAGGGGATATGCTGATTATCCTCAACAAGAAGGAGACCGATGGAGCTTCCCAGCTAAGATCAGCCATTGCTGACCTGCTCGGCCAAGAGGCCCACGTGCTAAGCAAAGAGCCCTGGGAAGATATCGAAATCAAGGACATTGATGAGGAGACATCCAAAGAGGATGTCCTTGAGGCCCTACAGAGAGCTGTAGGTGAGGAACACCAAATGGGTCCTGAGACCATCCGATCTATGCGCAAAGCATACGGTGGAACTCAAACTGCTTATTTGACCCTCACGTCAGCTGCGGTGAAGAAGATCCTGGAAGAGGACGACCACGGGAAGATGAAGATCGGCTGGGTAAACTGCCGCATACGTAGAGTACAGAGGCCGGTCAAGTGTTTCAAGTGCTGGCACTACGGACATCTCGCCAGCAAGTGTAGGAGCGCAGTGGATCGGTCGAAGCTCTGCCCAAGATGTGCAGGAGATGGCCACAAGGCCAAGGAGTGTCAGAAGGATCCTCGGTGCGCCCTATGCGCTAAAGATGGGAAAACGGAGAATTGTGCCCATGTCGCTGGCAGCAGCAGATGCCCGGCTTACAGAGAGGCACTCCAAAAGCTTACTAACAAAAGGCGATAAAAAACGGATCAGCTGCAAGGTGTTACAGCTCAACATCAATCACTGCGAGGACGCACATGATCTGCTTATGCAGACGGTGCGTGAGCTGAAAGCTGACCTTGTCATGATTTCTGAGCCATATCGAGATCTTGGCACTCAATCCTGGGTCACAGACGCCAGCAGAAAGGCTGCGATCTGGGCTTGCGGGAACCGACCTTTCCGAAACATCAGCAGTAACACGCAGAGTGGTTTTGCTATGGTGAACTTTGATGGAATCCATTACTACAGCTGCTATGCTCCACCCAGTCTCCGCATTGATGAGTTCACAGACTTCCTAGATAGGCTGACTGTGGATGCTAAGCAACAGTTTCCCGTGGTGATAGCTGGAGACTTCAATGCCTGGGCAGTTGACTGGGGCAGTAAGGTAACAAACGCTAGAGGACAGGCTTTACTGGAAGCCATGTCATCTTTGGACGTAATATTACTGAACAGTGGAGAAGAACTAACCTTCATTCGGGGAAAGGCGAGCTCAATTGTGGATCTTACCTTCGGTGCTCTCGCCAAGAGAAACTACTCATGGAGAGTAACTGATATCTACACTGCAAGTGACCACCGGGCAATACTCTGGGAGATCTACTCTGACCAGAAAGCCAGATCAATCGCGAAGAAGACCAACAGTGTTGGTTGGAGAGTGAGCACCTTTGATTCTGGCTCTTATTCGGCGGCATTAGATGACCGTCCGATTACTGGCACGAATGCAACAGCGAAGGCACGGGACATTATGGCGAAGGTGACTAAAGCCTGCAATACCACTATGATGAGGAAGCGGACTACGAATCGACACCCCCTGGTGTATTGGTGGAATGACACCATCGCGGTCCTCCGGAGGGAATGCAACGTAGCTAGGAGGTTGTCCCAACGAGGCCGGAAGAAACCAAACTTCGAGGGACTCGAAATGAGGTAAAAAAAGGCACGTCGGAAACTGAGCAAGGCGATAAAGCACAGCAAGAAGCATTGCTGGAGTGAACTTCTTGCTGAAGTAGAAGGCGATCCCTGGGGGAGACCTTACAAGGTGGTGCTGACACGACTAAAAAGTCAACCTATGCCAATACCATCGTGTCCTGTTCTCCTGAGAAAGATCGTTGAAACGCTGTTCCCTCAATAACCAGATTTTCACCGTCCCGCCCGACAACAGGAGGATGAGATCGTAGCGAAAATCACGAGGGAAGAGTTGATGAAGGCCTACATGCGAGTGGGTAACATCAAGGCCCCTGGCCCGGACGGTATCCTCAACATTGCACTGAAATCGGCAATACAAGCAATGCCAGAGCAGTTTCTAGACGTCTATAACGAGTGCTTCAAAGAAGGCATATTTCCTGCCATGTGGAAGCAGCAAAGGCTGGTTTTGCTCCCAAAAGGGAACAAGCCGCCGGACAAACCTTCATCATATCGTCTTCTCTGAATGCTCGACACAGCCGGTAAGATCCTCGACCGTATAATCCATCAGAAAATAGAGGCAGCTGTTGAGCCATTGCTAGCCGAAAATCAATATGGTTTCCGGAAAGGTCGATCCACATTGGATGCCATCAACCTTGTTGTTGATACCGCCAGGAGAGCGATTTCAGGGGAAAGATGGCTCAATGGCACTAAGGAGTACTGCCTAGTAGTAACACTGGACATCAAGAATGCCTTCAACTCAGCCCGTTGGGACTGCATCATGGAGGCTCTTGCCAAATTGGACGTACCAGGATATTTGCGAAGGATGGTTGACAGCTATTTCACCGGGAGGATCCTCAAGTACGACACGGAGTGTGGTCCCAAGCAGTATGAAGTCACGGGAGGAGTCCCCCGAGCCTCGGTGCGGGGTCCTTTACTATGGAACATCATGTACGACGGGCTGCTGAAGCTGAAAATGCCGCGGAGGACCGAGCTCGTGGCATTCGCAGATGACGTGGCCGTAGTCATCGTCGGAAAGTACCTGAAGGAGATGAATCGTGTCTTCAGTACAACGTTTGAAACGATCCGCTGTTGGATGGACTCTGTTGGACTGGACCTAGCGGAGCATAAGACGGAAGCCGTATTGATCACCAGTAGGAAGAAGATCGAGACGATCACACTGCAAGTCGGGTCTTGTGAAATCACCTCTCAGCCATTCATTCGATACCTGGGGGTGATGATCGATGCACGACTGAAGTTCAAGCAGCAAGCAGAGCATGTGGGGGCCAAGGCATCTGGCATTACATCCATCTTATCACGCCTCATGCCTAACATCGGGGGACCCAAGCAAAGAAGACGGGCGCTGTTGTCTTTAGTAATTACTTCGGTGCTCACATATGGTATTCCCATTTGGGGAGAGGTATTCCAGTTGCAGGAAGCGCCACGTAAGATCGTACCAGTCGACCGACTGAGTGCCCTTAGAGTTGCAAGTGCATATCGGACAGTTTCTGAGGACGCGGTGTGTGTCATCACAGGAATGCTGCCGATAGAAATACTGGCTGAGGGGCGGAAGATCTTGTACAAACGTAGGAGATCCGAAGCGCTGAGTCCCGAGGAGCTGACGCTGGAAGAGAGGCGGAACAGCCTGCGGAAATGGCAGCTGAAGTGGGACAACTCCACCAAAGGGAGATGGACCTATCGTCTGATCCCCAAGGTGAATGTCTGGCTAAATCGAAACCACGGAGAGGTGAACTACTACCTAACGCAGATGCTTACGGGGCACGGGTGCTTTAGAGCGTATCTTCATAAATTTAAATATGAAGATTCCTCGAAATGCCCAACCTGCACGGACGTGGATGAAGATTCGGAGCACGAGTTCTTCGTATGCCCTCGTTTCAGCGAGACAAGGCGTACGTCTTCACTTGGAAGGGAAGTATTGCCTGAAAATCTGATGGATGCGTTACTATCATCGCCGGCAGCCTGGGACGCGACGAGCCTTTTTGCGGCTGAAGTCATGAAAGAGCTCAGAAAAGAGGAACGCGAGCGCAGAGCCGCAACTTAGACGGAGAACCTACTGGAACTTCATACCTACACCCAAGAACTTGGTAGGCTAGGAGGACGTACATTAGGCCGGAAAGAGGAAGAGCCAATAGCTGTGACCTCCCTTGCGAAGTAATACTTAACGGTGGTGCCGCGAGGGAAAGAAAGGTCAAGGATGAGCGGGGTCAAGTGGTTTAGTGGGTGCGGGCCCCACACAGGGTGTGGCAGCAGCACGACACTAGCTATCGCAAGTGTTATGCTGTTGCCTAACTATCGTGCGGACAGGAACATTTGCCTCAAGACCTCGAAAAAAAAAAAACACATACATCAACCCAAAATTTTCGGGGACATTGTGGTAACCTTGAATTTTTCCCTTGACCTTTCTCCTCAACGTTGACCCCTCAACGATCCTTTCTTCAGGTTTGACTGATAACTTTCGTCCCTTGAAGTTTCTCTTACAATTTTTTATCTCTAAATTCTAATTCTCTTAGAATTTTTTTTTTTTTTTGGAGTGATCCAAAAATTTGGACAGGGAGTTTTTGTCCATCAAAGCAGGCTTCAACAGGCAGAAACAAAGAACATCCGCGAATCGAAACCCGCCCCCCCTCTCCCCCATCGCGCAAAAAACAAACCGTTTGTTTGCGATTGAAAACGAAATTGATTGTTTCTTCACTTTACGCATCACTCTATACGTCTCATCAATTTCTGCCATTTCAGATAGATTGAGGATATAGAAATTAATATTGTTAACAAAACAATTCCTGTTAAAACACGGATTTTATATTACCAAATTTCGAATTAGAAATCAGAAAATTTCCTGAAATAAAAGTTAGGGAGAAAGAAATATCACAAGGGAAAATCGATGTTGCAATTTTCATTCATTTTATTAATTATATGTACATAATTACACTGTTTTTTTATATTTTTCATTTGAATCCATCCACTCATACAATTACTCCAAGTACACCGATTGTCAGTGGTGGGGAGGAACAGGAGATGAGGGGAAGAGTAAAATCGATCGAAGCGCCGTATCGCGGCACCTCAACGAACTTGTCCCCTGTTTTCTGCTTTCTAATACGTACAAAAATGTTCATGGCCATGGCCATGGCGCCGCCATGGCGTTGCCATGGTCTTTTGGCCGCTTGCCATGTCCTTTGACCTTTGTGCCCCTGCGGCCACCTGGGACCTTTAAGGTCATAAGGTTCACAAGGTACAACAAGGTTACGAGGGTCAAGAGCGTCAAATTCCCTTAGTTGATTATTTGATTATAAGTTTTTTTTTGCTTCCGAAATGAAGCTTTGTAATCGTTCAAATTTAAGTTTCCAATTTTTCGTGTTAGGGTAACTAAATATGGTCTAAAAAGTCCGAATATGCGATTTTTAGATGGTGTCTGTATGTATGTATGTATGTGCGTGTACTCTTCTTCAATTTTTTCATTTGCAATTTTCTCTGTAGAGGCTCAATGGAATTTCATGATTTTTTTCATGGATATAAACTTCAGTAAGCTGTATCCATAGACACTCGTTAAAGTTCAATTATTCATAGAGTTTTTGAAATATTGGCATTGAAAAAAAAATTGTTTTTCGACGATCAGTCCAAAAATTATTATCGAAATGAAATGAATCATGGCTTGAAAAAATTGTATCGATAGCCCCTTGATTCCATCAAAATATGATGGGATTCGCACCATTCACTGTTAAGTTACAGCAAATTGATTGTGAGATTTTTTTTAAAAATATTTTTCGAGATAAATTGGAAAAACCAAAAGCTATATCATTGAAATTACGACTCAAAAAGTTTGTTTCGATGTTGTCTCGATGGAATAGGAAGATGGTGAAAAAAGCATGACTATTTACCAAGTTGTGTAATAGCGATATAAGTTTTTTATGTAAAGAATTTTCAGTAATCTTCCATATGCATCTGTTATCATTTTGATTGGTCGGTTTTATACATATTTATTCATGGTCCCGACTAACTCTTCAATTAATCATGGCCGGGTTAAGTCTTGATTATTTTTCGACTATCGCCGGAGTAAAGTTTGGCAA